AAAAACTAGGAATAATAATTCTAGTAAGAAAACGATTGAACAATTAGTTTCCATTGTTTTTAGATGGAACTTACATCCATATTTAAGATGGATGCTTTACGCTTTTTGACCACATATGTAGTTATGCGATCCAGCCCGCATGAAACAATTTTCCATTAGTTAATGCACCCAAAACAGCCCCATCTCTCTCTCTTTGCAATTTCTCCGATCTTTCGGCCGAAAAAATTAGAACTCAATAGAAAAGCTACATTTGTTGCCACAAAAGCTATGATTCTCACTTGAAAAGCTGCAACTTTGCAAATGAAGAGGACACTTTTGCCTGAAAATCTAGATCCGGTATTGCCGGAAAACTACTAATCTTGCCCGACACCAGTGAATCATAAGAAAAAGCCATGAAGTTTTGCTAGAATAACTTGCAACTCTCTCAAAGAAAGCTACATTTTGACACAATAAAAAATATGATTCTCACAAAGTCCTACTCTTAATCGACCCCAAATAGTTAGAAAAAGGCTGATGATAATGATGACTTACAAAGCTCAACTTCACTGGAAGCCTAGTCGTGCTCATTCCAAATAATTAAAAAAAGGTTGATGATAATAATGACTTACAAAGCTCAACTTCACTAGAAGCCTTAATCCCTCTACCTGAAAAACCTACACCTGGACACTATTAATATTGTCACAACAGTTACGACTTTGCCAAAAAAAATGATGCACTCTATTGCAAACCTCCAGTATCACAAGAAAACAATCCGATTCACTATAAAAAATCGCACCTCCAGTATCATAAGAAAACAATCTTATTCCCTGTAGAAAATGGCCAATCTCCATTGAAGAGCAATTTGGATGTGAGGGGCTTTAAGGCTTTCTTTAGATGATCTACCGGCTAAGAGCCAATCACATCCTCCCACTTTTTTTTTGGTTATATTAAAATAAAGACGCTTTTAATTGTCCAACTGTCCATTTAAATTGGATGGCTGGAAGCCACAAAGCATCTATAACTTATTTACATACCTCAACACAAAAATTTTCGCAAAACAAAGAGTAATGACTGTATGAGACCCTCCCACACCCATGTGAGTAATACCAAAATAATCACCATTAAATTTTGACACAAATCTCTAGAAAAATTATCACTTGGACGTAAGACTTAAGTGAATGAGTTTATTGATAACTTTTATAGAGATCTGTATCAAAATTTAATGGTGATCCTTTGGGGTCCTACTCACATGGATGTGGAAAAATCTCATAGTATCATTACTCCAAAACAAATGGCCAATATAATCTTTTTGAACCATATACGAGTTAAATTTAGTGAAAATGACTAATTATAATACTCATTTTATCATAGAATTAGTAAATTTCCTAATTACCTTGTTTCCTTGGAAAAATTATAGTGAAAAACCAATTGCCATGAGCCATGCGAACATCTTTGATATTGGTATAAAAGGAATCATTGCTCATTCAAAACTCCTTAATAAACTTATCATCATCCAAACCTTATCTCAATTATTCAGAGTAAGTTGTTTTGCGTACCTAATGCATCCCACTTCCTTCATCCATGCTTAAAATGGATCAAGGGAAAATTCAAGATCCTCACCTTTATTAAACGGACCCTAATAAACTACATAACCAAATTATTCCCAAATAATATATTATCAGAATTTTACAAATACAAAAGGCATTGAATTTCCTTTAGTTGGGGCAATTGCTACAATTAGATTTTAGAAAAATTGAGGAATTAAACACATAAATGAACAAGGTAAGGAAGAGGGCAAGGGCTCATGTACTTTTTGAGAACAAACCATGCCTCACTAGTTATTAAGTATTTGGCTTCTTAGAACTTCAGCATCTCATCAGTCACCATTGCCCTTCTGTGCTTAATGGTTAGGAAAACAGCAGTTAATGCACAAGCCATATCACAGAATCGCGTATATGAACCAAAAGAAGTACTGCCTCATGTTTTTTCCCTTCCAGTAGTATATTACAGAGCATGATCATCTCCTAGTACCCAAAACAAATGCAAAAACAAATACCCCCCATTCAAACCACAATAGGGATAATGTAGAAGGAACTCTAGCCCAAGTTTGTGAATCCAAAATTGCTGGGTCGAGGACCAAATAAAGATAAAAGCCCGAGAATGACAGAACAAGATTCGTGTAGCTATCTTATATAATTGTTACGAGGTTCGGACGAAATGACGAAAAAGCAGAGGTCCTACTGAGGATTCGCACCAACCTACCCCAAAATCATGTGGGACTTTTGAGTCAGACAGCTTTATCCTTTACATTACCTCAAACTCAACCAGCTCCTTGACTTCCTAAAACTCTCAGCCCTTCTGCTACGGCTACTCTCTTCAATGTCCAAACTCTCAGCCCTTCTGCTACTCCTACTCTGTTCAATGTCCAAACGAAGCCACCTTCCAATCTTCACCGAACCAGACCTGACCCGGATGAGTAGAGGTACATGATTCACACCCCAAACCAACACAAAATCATGTGGGACTTTTTGAGTCACAAGGCTCTATCCATTACATCATCTCGAACTCAACATCCTCCTCAACTTCCTAAAACTCTCAGCCCTTCTGCTACTGCTACTCTCTTCATTATCCAAACCCTCCTTGGAAGAACACATATGATCGAAGCTCAGCGACCTTCCAATCTTCGCCGAACCAGACCCAGACCCGGATGCGGTCACAGATGAAGCCTCTTGAACCGCACCCGAGGCGGCAGGGTCTATCACAATCTGAATTTGTGGAACCCCATTCAAGATATCCCCCTTCTTCACAATCTTTCTACACAGAGGACATGTAGAGTGAGAAAGAAACCACATGTCAATGCACTCGGTGTGGAACCCGTGGCCGCAAGCTGGCAAGAACCGGCCCATCTCGCCGGCCTCAAACTCACAGAGGCAAACAGCGCAGTCGGCCAAGCCCTGGTGGGCTGGGTTGGATGGGTCAAAGTCAAAGGTCGGCAGAGCCACCAGGAGGGCGGGTTCCAGCCCACTCGCTTGCTGTAAATGGTGCGTGTTAACTGAGCCCGCGGCTCGATGGCGCCGGCGCGCACGGGTCCGGCGCGTTGCTTGGGGAATGAGGAAACAGCGGGCGTAGATGTGGAGGAAGAGGATGAGGAGGACGATGGTGAAGAGGACTACGACCGCGCTCATCATGATTTTCCCTGTTAGGGCGTAGTTAGGTTGGGCTTCATCTGAGCGCACTTGATCCATTGAACTCTATGTTGTTTCTCCCTCTAAAATTTTGTTTCTCTCTCTAGAATTTGTTGAACTCTCTGTAGAAATCGGGTACACAGCTTCTTTCTCTAACAAGCAGAACGCCCAGACTTCTTTCTCTCTCTAGATTGTGGGAACAGGGCGGCGCGGCGCAGAAGGGTTATTGAGACAGGGAACACTGTTTCTCTCTCTAAAAGGCAGCTCTGAAAGGGGAAGAGCCCTGGTTCTTCTATTTGGGTTTCTATCTCTTCATGTATTATGAATTTCAGACTCTGGAAGTTAACAGACCCGGATAAAGACACTGTTTGCCGACTCAAACCTCCAGCAAAAACAGAACAAATGTTTCTGTCTCTAAATTCCGGGCGAACTCAGCCTGAAAATGGAGAAATGCCAGGAATCCACGTATTGACGCGTGTCACAATAAAAAAGAACAATAAATTTGTCTCCCTCTCTACAATCTAATGAAACCAGATGAAGATGAAGGAGTATATGTTAAAGGACCAAAAGATTGTATAAACCCATGGTGCAAAGATTTGGAGGAGTTGCAGGTTTAGAGAGAGAGGAGGGGTGGCAGGTTAGAGAGAGAGAGAGTTAGGTGTGAGCAGGGAATAATACGGATATATATGTGTTTGAAATAATTAATGAAGGAAAATTCGGCGCTGCTTCTGGTGTGTTTTTAGCGAAAAGGTCGTTTGTTTTGGTTAGGATAGCGCACTCACGAAAACTTTGTGCGTCGGCTTTGACTCCTTTCTCACTTGAATCATCGATTGGAGGTTTTCAAACAGAATGGAAATTTATTGTTTTATTTTTAAAATACAAAAAAAAAATTATGTACTTTGTATTTTGCACTATGGTCCTATTTTTTAAGAGCATAAGAAACATTTTAGTTCTTTTTGTCTTTTTTCATCTATTAGATTAAGTGTAAATTTAGTATAGTCATGCTTTTCACACGTCTATGAAATTATTAAAAAGTTATTCAAAGATGATAAATAACTAAAACATCCCTATAATGTTCAAGGTTATTTTGATAATTTTAGTTAGCTTAAATTTTGAAAGATTTGTTATAGGAGTGTGATGGCGAAAAGTATCAACATGCTAAATTTGAGTTTAGTCCTATATGTAGAAAAATATACATTGTTTTCAGAAAGTTGGATTTAAGTGTAAATTATGAAATATATGAGACTATAACTTTCAAAAATAAAATAAATTTTTTTTTTATAGATTTCTCTATTTCCTTTTCAACATTTGGCTTTGAAAGTTTGAAATAGGTTAGATTTCAACTTTTGAGTTAAAAGAGGTGTTCCTCTTGAGTCATGGAGTTCTCCCCATGAAATTGAGGTCACTTTATGAGGTCTCTTTCCTACTAATTTAATCTTTTCTTTACGCGTGTGTAAGACTTTTTAGTAAGGGCCCTTTTTCACATTTTTTTCTTCAAGAAATAACTACAATATTAGATTTGAGTGTGATTTGCATGAGGTTGCAGCCTTACATAATAAATTAAGGTGCACCTTCAATCTTTGTTATGAGATGTAATTTTGGTGTCGAAAATTTTCAGAATAGTGCAAGAATCTATTTTATCTCTAGTTATAAAATTTTAAACTCTAAAATTAATTCAAATCAAGCAAATTTATGTATGAAAATCTTTAAAATAGATGGTCTGGATAATGTGTTGTAAGATGTACTATTTTTAGGATTTGAAATCTCTTCTTTTCTTTTTTTTTTCCCATAATTATATATCTCGATGTCGAGATGATCAATTTGATATTTTTCCAACATCAAAACAACTTTTATTTATTTATTTATTTAAATGTTAACCATTAGTAGTGGGTTTGCAATTTCTGAAACCATTAATAGTTTTCGAAAGAGGTTAGCATTGGTAAGAATGAAAACCGATACCAGCAGCTTAATCACATAATGCTACCAACATCAAAACAACATTTTTTTATGGATTTTAGAGGTGGATCTTAATTCTACATTTTTATACATTTGACGATGTCCACCTTATATAACTTTTTTTCTTTATGCGACTAATTTAAGTTTTTATTGGTAGCACTGGAGGCTTATGTTCGTAAAAGAAAATGCGATCGGTATGATTAGATTTTTTTTTTATTTTAAGTCCAACTTAAAATAAATATCAAAGAAAGAAAGAAAAAGTAATGGAAAAAAAAGAGTACGAGGGCATTTATGAGACACTTCTACAGTTTCAGTATGGCCTAAAGCCTTATATATATATAAAAAAAAAGGTAAAGCCTCACCTAAAAATATTGCCCAGAAAATAATCCGGGCATATATTTCTACCACTTATTATGAAATTTATAGCTCAAAAAATAGTATAAATTGAAAATGGACTGTCAAGGTAATGTATTAGGACTTAGAAATCCTAATTTTGTTTTCACAACCACAACCATCAAGGTCGGGACAATCAATTTGAAGGTTTTCTGGGATTGGATCTATATTTTTTTTTAGCGAGTTTTGAGATGAGTCTTCGCTCTCTTTTTTTTTTTTCAATAAAACCTTGACCTTATTTTAAGCTTTTTCCTTATGTAAATGGTTTGGTAATCGAACCAACATAATAACCAGCAAACCAAACTTTTGGTGGAGCATAAAGAATTTAGGTGAGCAATCTAACGACTCTTGATGGGTGCGTGGCTTCTTTTGACCTAGACCATCAATGGTTCTTGCTCTAACCATCGATGCGCACTAATTATTGGAAAAAGTTCATTTAAAGTTGCAACTTTATACTGTTGAAGTAAGTTGCACCTCATAAATCATACAGTGGAGAGTATTCCGGCATAGAAAAACCCTCCAACTGATCATCTCAACCTTGAGATGGATGGACATGAAGAAAAAAAGAAATCCAAGTTAAAAAAATAATGCATTTTGGAACAAGTTATCTAAACCGTATATTGTCAAGTGTTTATTGATCTGTACCATTTCTGAAATTTTAAATTTTATAACTGAGGATAAAAATAGATTTTGAAGCCACCGATGGTTTTCGACACCTAAACGACATCTCAAAGTAAATTCTAGAAGTGTGCCAACCTAAACGACATCTCAAAATAAATTCTATAGGTGCCTTACTTCCACAGTATAAGGAGGCAACCTTATACAAATCACACCCCTAATTATTTATACCTAGACCATCAGTGTTTTTTTATGGTTAGGACATGTAGTGGCACCAGCATTTTAGAAAAAGGACCATTCAAGATTTCCAGAAGCAAATGCAAGGTTCAAGATATCGACATAAAGGTTTGTTTTGGTGCAGCTAAGATCTACCCTAAATTAAAGTGACTTTTTCCGGATCAAAATTGAGCTTTGTGTAACCCGGAATACTGAAGGAGATAGCGAATTGCAGTTCGAAGAACTAGATACTCGAAAGATAAACAAAGTGAAGAAATTGACAACAAACTTCATTTTTAACTTGGAGGCATGGACTCGTTTTCTTAGAATATTGAATGATGTAGAATTAAGATAAATTAAGATACAATTAGGTGCAAACAAGCATATTCCCAAGTACCTCGAGTTTGAAGTGAGATAAGATTGAAATTTTCATTTAAAACATACTTTGCATCACTTTGAAATGTCCCCACAAAATAAAACACGATAGTTGTTTTGAAACACATTTCCAAAAAAATAACAAACAAATGATCCAATGGACATTATTTGAGAATAATCAACTATAACATATAAGTTAAAAATAAAAAATCAAAAATTCAACTATAACGTAATTAGCAATGGACATTATGGCATTGTGAATTTTTATTCATAATTTACATCCCAGTCCATTTAAATCATGATATCTGCATTTTTTAAAAAAGTTGCATTAATGCCCCCTAAATTACTGTTATTATAGAAATCCCCTTCAATTTTTACATTTTAATTCATATCCTCTGTTTTTTTTTTTTTCCCACAATGTCTGACGATGACTTTGGACTAAAGTTCAAATGGATTTTTTTTTAATATGGCTTTGGACCTTCAAGGTCTTAAGTGATTGAACTTCAAACTATAAAAGTCTGAAGTCCCATTAAGGTCCGAAATGATTGATAAGGATCTTGAAGGTTTCCAAGTGAGGATATTTTAGGAAAAAAAGAAGATGTGAACGTAGATACAAAAATTGAAAAATAGTAAGAAATATAGAGAGAGACATAGCACAAGTAACATGAATTTTTAACGCTTTTAACCCATGCGAATGTGATTCTTTGAAGATGTTTCAAACATCGGGGCAAATTATAGATACCCCAGCGGCCCTACCAAAAAACAAACACTATTTAAACCACACAATTGATCCTAATACTAATTTTTATTTTTTTCCATTCGCCCCAAGTAAAAAGTAACTTTTTTTAAGGATGAAAACACCCCCACATTTTCTCATTTATTTTGTTCACTTGAGTTGCGAAACCGCCCCACGTCCCCACCTGTTTTGCCCCGATGCTCATAACGCACTACTGAATCTCCACCGTGCCGGGAGACCAAGTAGGGCATAGCTAGTGGCATAGGAGCCAACTCGGTGTCAGCGGCTTCGTGCTGCACTGAAGTGATCCAATATGCAGTTCTGCACGGTCCACCACTTTCCATTCATTTCCAACATTGATCGTGAAACACCAGAACCCACATTTTTCTTTTTTTTTAGAGAAGTTCATAACTTTTATTGCTTAGCTAAAAAAGATTACAGAGTTAGAACAAAGAGGCGAGGACAAGGATGTCCCTCCTTTGGCAAGAGAGTCGGCTAAAGCATTAGCCTCGTGAAAGACATGCACAAAGGAAATAACAAGAGACTTGGACAAGTCCCAAATCTGTAGCAAGGAGGATCTCAGCTCCCAAAGAGGCTTATTAACACCATTACACCAATTGATAATATTTAGAGAGCGTCCTTCTATGATACAAAACCGACCTACATCTCTTTTAATGAATAGCTTCAGGCCATTGAGGAGCGTCAGCATCTCCACATGGTTGGCCATTGTGAAACCTGATGGCCCAACAAAGGAAAAAATTACCGAACCATTTGAATCCCTCGCCACACCCCCATATCCAGCCCTCCCTGGATTCCCAAAAGAGCTCACATCGAAGTTAAGTTTGAGGGTGCCTATTAAAAGGGCCACCCATCTACCCTATGGTCTACATTTGAAGGAACCCAAAAGGAAGAGAATAGGAAGACTTCTCTTCATGTCAACTTCTGTAATGTCAAACCCCTACATTGTGATGGAGCAGCAACGCCAGAGCTCGTGAAGAAATTTTTCTAATAATTTTTCAAAAAGGAGACAACATCCATCAAACATTCTTTGATTCCTTTCTTTCCATACTTCCCAGATAATCAAGCCTCAAGTAGTCTGCCACAGGGCCACCCAAACTTGGGCAATGACACAAACAAGTTTGAGATGATGCCAACAACCTCAGCCGGCATAACTAAAGGCATCTCCAGTTTATCAAAAAACCAATGCCAAATTTGAAGGATAAAAGGGCAGTGAAGAAACAAGTGCGAACCTATTTCAGTATCCGACTTACAAAACAAGCAAGCATTCGGCAAAACCTTACCTCGCTTGATCAGGTTGTCAGTGGTAAGCACCTTATTAAGGACGACCAGCCATAAGAACGCTTGAACTTTAAGGGGTAAATGCCATTTCTAGATTGAGGCGAT